CCCCCCTTCTACAATTACTTTCTGCTTATTGCCTTACCCTTCAGGACTAACAGTTAGTTTAGGGGTTAAGGACCCGTCTTCATCGGGGAATCCACCTGTCTTGTGTTGTGAGTCCCAAAAGTTAAAAACTAGGGATTGGGACAAGGTTGGGTGACGTGATCACGTCACGTCCCGTCCCGTCCCGTATATTAAATATATTATATATTTATTATTAAATATATTATTTATAAAGAACTAAATTTAATATCTTTTAGATTTAGAAAGAGTATTCTGACATTTCTTCTTATATACATCTCCTTTACTTATCTTGCTTTCTTTAGACAAAAAATAAGAGTTGAAAACGTTTGATCAAATAATTATATATAACATTGTCATTTTGTTCACACATGAATATTTGGTACTCAATAAAAGCAAATTTGTGAAAATATGTGAGATTTAAGCATGGACTATTTTGGATCAGGTGTGATGTTTGACAAATTTGATTTAAAATATCAAACATAAACTAGAAAAAATCCCCAATTCTTGTTCCCCGTTGGGGACAGAGATTGGGATCGGGACAGGAATGGAGGTTGTGGGGGAATCTGGGTTTTGTGGTTAGATAATACTTGGATAAAAAATTTTGGGTCGTGTATTGGAAAACACTTTCCAAATACTATACTTCACCTTTATTATTTCCTCATGTTAACACGGAATTAGTATGGAGATAATCTATAAATTACATACCCGAATGAAGGCACATTTTTTGTGTGTGTGTGTGTATTCACCGGATCAACCATTTATGTATTTATAAAAGAGATCGATAGTTACGGACGATTAGACAGTTAATATGCAACTACACAATAGTTACAACTGCTTATGGATAAGATTAGAAAACAACTACAAATAACTTAGCGTCTCTGAGTCAAAACCATCACGAATAAGAGGTCCACAACCCCGATCGTAAGGATCTGAGGCTTTGATCCTCATCGCTTAGGAATCTAACTGTAGACTCAGAGCTCAAAACCTACGGCTTAGCAGCTCTAATTGCACTGTCTCTGAACTACACATGGTTAAAATTTCACCAAGTTCAGGAACGATTTCAAGAAGGATTCCAACATTCTGAAATTCGTCAAGATCGTCCCAAAGCTTGGAAATTCCTAAGGCTTTTTTTAAAATCAGTAGACCTTAGGACGCCGCCCCTTTGAGCCCACTAGGGGCGCGACCCCCTTGACTCCTGCCTTTTCGGCAATCTAAGGTGATATGTACAACCATTTGTGAGTGTGCACTTCACACCTCCTAACTCACGTTGTTTGACTTATCACCTTAATTAATCTCAAGTAAATCACAATTACACCAAATGATTAATGATACTAACATCACCAACATGAATTAGGATCCCGCGCCATTCCCATGCCTATTGGTGAGGAATAGGCTAGGGACCTGAGTTGTGGGATGGAGGCAAATCCTTTCCTGACATTTGATGGATCTTGTGCGAGATGTAAAAAAGGGGCATTCGGTAAGTATGAAAAAAAATCTTTCATACTATTATATCATTTTCATCATTACAAATAACCTTTAATTCAATAAATACTAATAATTCACATAAAATTGTTTGAATAGAATATTCCTAGACGCGAAATCAATCAACAATTATTTTTAAATTAATATTATCTACCATATCATTTTTACATAATATCGTCAAATCCGTTCCACCATAAAGGAACATTATATCATATACTTTTAATATATAGATTGACATCATTTAGGTCGCAATGTTGACTTTTTGGAGTAACACTCTATGTAAATCGGTTAGTTTTCCATCTCGGCTCAGGCTAATATTTTTCATTACTGTTTTAAACTTTTTGGGTTAAAACAAATTTTTTTGGAATCATCAAATCTTGGAATCAAAAACCCATGTTGGTTATAATTTGAGATTTTATTCTTGTTTTAGAGATACGAAAATGTTAATAATGTATGAAAAACCAAGGGTAGTTTTGAAACCCTAAATGTAGACATAAGTTGGACCTTCTCATATGATTGGTAATTATTGTTTTCAAATGTATGAGTTTTCTTAATTAATAACAAGAAATCTGCAATACTCTAATGCAAAAATAGAATTCATACGAATAGAATTTAAAAAAAAAGTCAGTACGAGATGAACGATGGAGAATATATCAAGGTTTTATAGATAAGTAGTTTTAAACTTTTGTACTAGATAAAAAACTTACGAAAGCACAGCTTATAAAATAATGACCAATTAACTTTTTTCATCTTTTTTTTTATAATTAGTTAATGCATGTTTGGGCCTTTAATATAATATAAAATTCTTTTTGGGTCTTATTAGACACTACAAATTTTTGTGTCTCTTTTATTTACTAATTTTTTTAACTACTAGTGTATATTATAAAATTTTGGGCCCCTATCCAAGGAACGGCCCTGGATGGAGGGTGATTTTGGTCTTGGGGTTGGCGTAGAGAGGGAGATCATTTAGAAGGCTTGGTACATAATTCTACAGATTATATACCAAACGTTAATTGGGTAAGCATTTATCAAGTCACTTACCTTATCGAGTAAGCATGACAAAGACAAAAAATCTTATCTAGTAAGAGCCATGGCAAGGACTTCTTACCAGGTAAGTGGGGATGGTGAGTTTGACCCAGTTAGCACTTATCGGATATGATTATTGCCTAGTATGCCGTTTTGATGTTTGAGAATCTTACTCAGTAAGGTAAGTGAGTGTTGACTCTTACCAACATGTGCTTGTCTAATAAGCGTTTGATAAACAACCCCTTAATCCTTTTAAGTAATGAGAGTGATAAGTGGAGGCTAGGGACTTCATGGTCAAGGGGTTTAAAGAGTTGGTGGACAACAATTCTCTTGGATCTTCATCTCAATTCTCATGTCGTTAAACTAAACGGTACAAGTTTGTTCCAAAGAAAAGTTTGCATATATGTGTGGCGCCTAAGACAAGGTAGGATTACAGTTTGTTCGATGTTGGACCGACTTGGTTTCGACCAACACTCTTCCTTATGTCCCCATTGTGGAAATTAAGTTAAAACCATCGATTATTGTCTTGTTCGTTGCAAGCAAGTCGGAAGTGTAAGCAAAACTATTAAGGTGGTGGTTCTTGACTTCCTTCAACCTAGACTTTGTTTTGGACATATTTTCCATGGTTTTTGGCAAGCAGTTACATGATTTGGAGTTTCCATGATAGAGTGGTGTTTTCTAATCAGCCACCTTTGAACTTTGATTTGGCTTCCAATATCCAACTTCCATCATATCATTAGTTAGCTAATCATGTAAAATCTTTTAGTTATGGCATGTTTATTAGCGGCTTATGAGCTTAATGACTCGTAGCTTATTTGGTCAGTTACACATGATTGTTTGGTAATGGCTTATTGATATAGAAAGTGGCTTATTCAGTAAACTTATAGAGGGGAGCTATATGCAGAAAGACAAACTTTTTCCAAGCTGCCCCTCCCAATTAAAAGACATGTCCTTCATGTCCATGAAAAAACTCTCCCAAACAAAGATTTTTCTAATTAATAGAGACAGATTAATCTATACAAGACATCTTTATTCAGACAAGACTCCATGAAAAAACAACCAAATAGCCCCACTCTTGACCAATTACGGTCAAGGCAAGGGGTGTAATTTTACATGTGATCGTCCTCGTATTTTCTTATGTGATCGTTATTCTCGTTTGAAATCGGACTCTTTTATAGAAAAATCCATTTATAACTTGATTAGAAAATTTTCAAAGGTATATAATATAATGTAGTATACACAAACTTTAACGTAAGGCATGCCACTAGAGTTTGTATCTAACTTCAATTATTCCAACAAAGCAAAAGTGTAAAAGAGGGGATTCTAAGCAAATGCTCCGATATTGCTATAGGAAAAAGAAGAGACCGCATACAAGCATCCATCAAACAACTCACACTCTCTATCTCTTTACACCACAAAAATCAATATAACCAACCAACCAACCAACCAACCAACCAACCAATCAAACTAACACAATATCAAATAAAAGGAGGATCCTGAAGTTGTTCTTTGAGAAAAGATTATTGCCAACGGAAAAGAACAAGAAGGACGACAACATGATATTAGAACGAAAATCGTAGCCCATTGCTTGCTGCAAATAAGTTATATTCTTCAACTTCAGCAGCATCCTTTGCACAAGCATGACTACCTTCAATGGAACAAAAACCCGCATCACTACTATTATCTTCTTTCCCGTTCGAAAGGGCTACGGGACCACCAAAGTGGAAAAGGGAAAACCCCGTGCTACCCTTTCGTGTTTTCTCCGAATTCCCGTTTTGCCCTCCTGTGCTTTTGGGCGGAGATGCTGCTGTTTCCGACTGATGTGAGAACACCTTCTGCAACTTTTCACCATTTTGTAAGCCGGGAACCTTAGCATGCTCCTTCATGTTCGTACCATTTACCTGTGGAACCGATTGGTACACTGGCGGTTGACCACGGTTGAGTAACGGTGGGGCCAACGGTTGGAGGTTACCTACACCATACTGAAGGAAATGTGAATTCCCATTCAAACCATACCCAAACGGACTTGGGAACAAGTAGTGGTTCGGATGTGGTAGCGGCATCAAGCCGTTGGCGGCAGCAGCCACCCAAGGAACCGGACCTTGATGGTAATAACCCACAGAAGGAGCTTGAAACACTGGAAAGTGGATGCCTTGAGCTTGCAACGGAGGTGGAACAATGTTCCCTTGCGGAAGAGAACTTGAAATATCGTTCTTATCATTTTTGTAAAATTGTGCTGTTTTTGACGGTAATTCACCTAAGGGCACTTTTCTTAGCGTCTCACCTTCCTTTGTATTTTGCTGTTCATCAAGGCAGAGCGGGGTTTCTTTGATTACTTCAGAATGCTGGCTCGCGTCTTCTGAATCTGATGTAGACGAGGATTCGGGATTTTGGGTGTTGGAGGAAAATGAAGTATTTCCATCTCCTTCGCTGGGACACGAGGAGCAACTATCGGAATTGGAATTGCTACTCGTACACAGATCGGTGGTCCCACTTACGAGCGAGGTTGTATTGATTTCATTTTCTACTGTGTTTTTTGATTCCTTCAAATTGTTGTTCTCATGATTCGTTGCAACTGAAACGGTACCTTTTGATGGATCAGTAGGTTTGCGAGAAGGATCAGTAACATCATAAGAATTCGAGTTGTTTCTGGGGGTGTATCTCTTCTGTGTTTCCATTGGTTCCCATGTTTTCTTTGCAGATTGCAAATCCCGGGTTGACACATTGCTTTTAAGTCTGCCATGGTTTTCACGAATATAATCTGTTTGACTGTTGAACTTGTTTCCACGATAATATGGCTTGGAGATATCTGCATCCGGTTCTGGCTTATTACCCATTTTAGCCCTTGAATCGTTGGGTTGGTAACAACTGCAAGCGTGAGGGTCGTATCTGTCATTCGGCTTGTTATGAGAACAATGCAGCCTCTCGCCATATCTTGATCCATTAGATCTTATGTTAGTCCGGATATTATTGTTTCTCAGCGGTCTGTTTACTCTGTTGCTCCTTGCCAGCGTTTCAAAACCATCACTGTGAATCCTTGGGTCGGGTTTGCTTACCATCCCCCCACTTTCAGAAACCACTGCAAATCGGCCTCTATCAGACCACTTTGAGGATTGATCCCAGAATTTCGATTTCCTACGAGAGTGTTTGGAGTGGTCGCTTGCATATGAGACATTTCCATCTGCGTTCGAATTGGCATCATAGTTGAAATTCTGTTCCTCCTCAATATAATCTTGTGATATAGGCATAGATAACACAGTATCTTCTCCTGCTTTAGATTGTGAGTTTATGGTGTCACTAGCATCATCAACATTCGATGTGAGTTCCTCCTCATGGGCGGCATTGGAAATGGCAGGAACTTCATTGGGTTGACAGTTCTCTCTTTCCTTTTCCTTATTCCTCAGTCTCTCTTTCCTACGAAGTTTCTTTTCCTTTTCTTTTGCCCTTCTGCGCTCCTTCCGTTCTTCTTCATCACGCTTTTCCTTCTCTTCTTCTTCGAGGAGTTTAAACTACGGGAAGAACAGAGTTGAGAAATCCGCCATACAAGAATTGTGCTTCCTAAACCAAATAAGAAGCTAAACAAGAACAATACCGAGAGTTATTATTACCTGTTTTTCCAAAGTAATGATGTCCTTGCACGCGACAAGCACACGTTCTTCCAACAATTTTAGTGCAAGAGATACAAAAATGCTGTGTGCATTTTGACGTGCAGTACCTTCTCTGAAAGCCTTTTCAACCTATTAAAAGTTCACATAGTTAAACCAGATAAACCGAGGCACTTCCCAAAATGCTGAATGCAAATTATTTGTAAGCAAACAGATTCTGATTTTGGCTTCTCACCACCAGAAAGAAGAAACGACAAGTTTAAGATAAACTAAACCAAAGACAGATGACTTTTTATCGTACCTGTTCCTTAAAAATAACAGTCGCGGCATCTAAAAGAAATTCTCGAGCAAGTTCTGGACTTTTCGCATGTTTTTGGGGACGGGAGCATTCTCCATCCAGTTCATTCCCATCATTGTCCATGGAATCATCATCCTGAAATAATTTAAGGTGGCTAGAATTATGATAAAAGCTATTCCGCACATATAGTAAAAAAAATCTGCTTTATGCAAGTCCCGGGAAACCCCACCCAAAGGTGAGTAGACTACGGGGGTGGAAACTTCTAGTTAATGGAGCAAACCACAAGTGGGGATTTATCTAAGCAAGCCCAACTGGGCATAAAAGGGAGCCCTTAAGATAACAGACAGTTACCAAAGGCTCATTGGCAAAGCGGTACACGGATTAGCGGTAGAGCCCAGCCTCATAGGAGGTCAAGGTTCAAAGTCATCAAAACTGAGTGTATGTGAGTATTTGCCTTGTATAAATATTATATACTTCAAAAAAGAGTTAAACGGACAGTTAAAAAGCATCTTCATACCTCTTCTTCCTCGGCTTCTTCAGCATGCTCAAAAAACCTCCTGATGCTTTCTCCTCTTGTGATTGTGACAAAACCATCACCAACAAGAAGCCTGCAATGTACACATTGTTGGCCCTTCAAAGCATGAGCTTTCACTGAAAGTTCATTGCAGCGTCCATCCCTTTTCCATGCCCTTAGAGTGATATAGCAGGCATTCAAACCTGTAAGGTCTAAACCATTCACTTGAACTCTTACATTCAAACCAACATTTTCGAACTCTAGTATGTCGGATTTCCCTTCTCCAGTTCCAACAGCCCATTCATAGTGATGGTAAGTTTCAGCTGAATCGCCATAGTTTTGATGCCAATCAGCCTGGATTGTGTCTCGAGTTACCTGCAAAAATGCAGTTGCTTCATCTGAGTTATAAAGTCCTACTTAGTTATAAAAAGTGGAGAAAATCATGTAGTTTATGAGTCTACAAACAACAATAGAGTTGATTGTATGAACTTCTGCTAAGAATTTAAATAATCTGAAGGCTGTCGAATGCTGATGGCCAATTACACATGCATATCAAGAAACATGTGCCGATGGTTGTGAATTAATTTGTTCCTGAACACACCTCATATTGGAAGCTTGTATCAGCCACACAAAACCAGCTCGTGCAGCGAGCTTCTCTCCTCAGGCGTTTTAATTCTTTTAGCTCCTTGAACTCGCGAATAACGTTCTTTCTGCAATCTCTACAGAACCTCTTGCTATCAAACCTGTAACATAAGCGGACAAAGGTTATTAAAGAAGTAATAGAATACCAGATAAAAGATCGGCAATTCAGAAAAGATGTCTACCAATTACAGGCGTTCATGTTACATTAATTTTTTACTTCAGCTTTTTTTCTTATCGTCTACCTGACCTCACCAAAACACAATTTGATTCCTTCGAGTATATTCTTTAACCTTCTTCTCCCAGTTCTTTAGCAATATTATAACTACTTATGCAAGTTCTGCGTCTTTTTTCCTACTGGCCGTAAAGTCATGCACACTTGTAGTTTGTGAGCAACTCCTACACAGAACCAGACATCTTGTGACGGTCCGACTTTAAACGTTTCCCATCACTTCAATTATCATACAAGGCAGAAGCCGGTATCCACATGAATCAACTATATGTTGACTTACCATCAAGTATTTGGGAGGTTGGAGAGCTGCAATCCGCCTCTCCCATAGTCAATTTATGGAAAGAACAAAAAATGTTGACCTAACAACTCAACTACCACTCCATAAATAATCACCTAAAATTGTTTAGCCAGCAATACACCATCTCAACAATATCTAGTTCATGCTGTACAAAGAGCACGTCATAACTATTATTCATCTTGTATTCCATATTGTGCAATGAAACAATTCATTTTTATCTTCTTGTTGTAGAGACTACACCCCCTTTCCACTGGGACAATTCAGCGTAGACAATTCCTTTATATCTTACTATATCTTGTTGTCTACTGTAATGAAATTGAAATTTTTCATAATATACTTTACAGACCTCTCTATCCAGAAGTACCTAGCCGATGTAATCAGATAGAAATAACAAGCTTAAAATGAAATCAACAAATTGGAAGAGTGCATATGTTTCCCACATGCACGTTCTAAATTCCATAATAGCTCCAGATTCTCTGTTTTATAACCTATTCAAGGCAGAAATTCTCCATTGCTCTAGAAGTACCTACAGGCAATTCATATTTTAATTTCCTATTCCACTTGTGACTTGTAGATCAACAATAATAAAGGTCAAAACCCTTTTCATGAGATGATGCCATTAAAAAGCAACAAGACTAAACCTCAAGCTAATGCAGGAACTCCCCCTTTGTTACAGACTCCAACTTATTATTTGTTATGACCCCCGGGGTTCAGGAAAATACTAGAAAGGGGAAAACCTGAATATAATACAATAGATGGGATGACAGGCCTAAAAAGATGAACACCATAAAACCCAAACTAGGAGCTTAATCTAATAAGTCTATCTTCTAACACTTCCACCCAAGTTGAAGCATAGATATCAACTATGCCAACTAGCCTAGCAGAACGTAAATCATATGACAGAGGAAAAACAAAAATCCACTTTTTCACTTCACGAATAATATTCATACCCTCCTAATATTTGAATCCCATAGATAATGAAAAAGTGGAACAACCAACAATTCACTTTGCAATTAGGCACAACTTAGGAAACAAAATGTGAAAATCATCCAAAGAGTAAAGTGAAGCAGAAATGCAAGTCCAGAAGAACAATCCCAACTGAAACAGTTGGTCAAGGAAAAGTACAATCCTGCTAAGCAGGAGCAATCCCAATAAAAACAACCAAGCCAAGACAACAGTCTACCCTGCCAAACCAAATGGTCAATGAACTAGACAAGGGAAGAGAGAACCAACCAAAGCAAGAAAGCAGAGCAAGTCTACCCATCTTGTCTGTCTATCTCGGAGGCATTATAAAAGGACACCTGAGCACCATAATTCAATCAATTTGGGGAATCTACCAATCATGTTGATTAATCCTTTATAGGATCACAAACAGACTCTTCAACACCAAGGATTAATCACACCAACCAAGTCTAAGTCAACCCACCAATTTAGACATTCCTAAAAGGCATTACAAAGGGCTTTCTCAGTGACACCAAGCGAATAGATAGCGGCCATCCATCATGTTGGTAAATCTTGATGGACATCATGAAGGGATTTGACTTGTCACCAACACCAAGCATAGGTGGCTCCGCATGACTCTCTTCTATCCACCTAAAAGAACAACTGGCTGTCCCAATACCCAGAAAAACCACAATCCAACAAACAACCAATCAATGAGAGGTAGCTCCTAATCACAAACAAGCACAAGTGATCTCCTAAAGAGAAATCAAAAATGGATCCACTATTTAGGCAGCTCTTAGTGCATGTCAACATGAGTCAATCTATGGAGTAGCCACCGTTTTGTAACTACCAGCAATCAACAAGCAAACCAACCACTGAAGAGACACGGAACTTTTCAGAATATTTCAACTTACTCCCCCCCCCCCCACATCTATAGGCATGTTATAAGCAACCACTTTGGATAAAAGAAAATTGCTCCCTTCACTCTCAATAGCAAAAGACCCTCTGAACCATCTACAAATACCAAATGAGTCCAAATTTCTGTTAGTTGATTTCACATATCCCAATAAAGTTTCTAGAAATTACAAAAGTTTACATATTTTTAAGTGATGACAAACTCCCCCAAAAATGATTGAGAATGACAAGTGAATTTTGGTTGCAAAATGAAACACCTTGGACTTTCCAAAATGATGGGGATTGCAAGATTAGGGTGAAGAGTACAATATGTTTTTTAAGTTAAGAGAATTAACATTTTAACTGTGAAGCCTTTAGTTTTGGTGTGAATCCCCACAGATCCTACTATCCAAGTATGATATGAAGACCTCGGTCACTTTATTGAGTTTTGAGTCCCATCATTTTGATATTTGTTCCGCATAGGTAAAGAGGAAAGTCGTGAGGAGAAGCCACCAAGCCTGATTAACTCCTCAACACGACAACACCAAGCCTGGGTGGCTACTAGCTCCTCCTCCGAACTCTCCTCGAAATATGAAATGAACCTCCTAAAATGTACGGTGATGACCAGGCAGATTGACAACATGGACGCATTAATCAAAAGATATGGACTATGCCAAGCGCGTGTAAGAAGCTTGCAGGCAGAAAAAAGTCAAGCTCACTGACACTGATTCAGACTACTTTGACGAGAAGCTGGAATATCTGGTGACATTTCACAGCTGCTTTGGTAGATAATTCTAGCGTTGTTATGGTTTTGGATATCAAATCCATAGCTATGGTAACATCTAAATGGTTTCAGGTTTAAAGAGTATAGATTACCTAAGGGAGACCCTGTATATATACTATACTCTACCCCTTCTTTTGTTAACCAAACAATTAGTGTTGACCTTGTTAACCAATCTCATCCATCCAAATTTATCATCAACGGTTTAGATTGACTTAATGTGATTTAATTTATAAAACTAATGAAACACGCGTGCATCAGTGTATTTATAAGTGAAGAAGGGTAATTATGTAAAATGGTATACTACGTGGGATTAGGAAATGATTTATTAGAATCCCTTATAACTCGGCAAATCAATATGTAGGTTATGTAATCCGATTTTCATGCAAGTGATGAATCTTTGAATTGATATCTTCATCCTCGAAATTGACATCATCATTAGTAAGATGAAGGGTCAATAGTAAGATGAAATTTCACTTGTGAACTCGATTAGGAAAAACAACATTAACTTGATATGTGCACATATAAACAGATCGTACCTATGTGTTCCATTGTATTCACTTATGAACAGATTGCACATAGTAACTTTGTGCACACATTACATAGTGTAATTGTTCACACATGAACATAGTCTTCGTTTCACAGATTTACACGGAATGTCATATTGTCTAATAGTTCACTTATGAACAAAAATTCACTTATGAACAAAATGGCCACATAAAGAAAGACAACTTAAATTGAACAGTTTAATAAAAAAATGGAATTCCATGTATATCATCGTTGTTTTCTTGAATATCCATCGATCAAACTCCATGTATATCATCGTCCATGTTGAAGAACAACAGATGTTAATGAAAAAGTAAATAAAGTCCATAATTATCTTCTCCTAAAACAAGGAGAATATCATGTAACCCCGCCAAGCAATGAAAAAAAATAATAACAAAATAAAAAACTACCCCTATAATAAAAAACAAGCGAGGATTGGAACCAAAAGGAAGGAAGCAATATCATTGGTGAAAAGGAGTTAACAAAGTTAATATCATTTAGGAGGTTAACAAATGATTGGCCCTCTATATACATATATGCACTATACTATAAAGCATTTAGGTTTTTGTTCTTAAAACGCTCTTAATTTTTCAAGGATACAACTATTTAAGCATCAAGTATAAATCAATAATGCAATGCAAAATCTTCCAATTTTTATTTTATTCCTATTGTACCATTTTTGTAAACAATAAGAAGGGAAATTCGAAGGGTTTTTGGAAACTCATTTTACCCTTCTAAAATGAAGGGATCAAGTTTCGGAAACCCACTCAAAAACAATAATATTTTTTTCGTTTTTAAAATTAAAATTGGATTACCCTTTATTCTTAAAACTAAATTATCTTAAATATGATTAATATTTTAATTAAACAGATTATATAAAAAAACTAACATTGATATGTCACAAACTAATGTATATATTCATCATGAACATTCATGTATATTTAAGTATATACCACAACTCTCCACATTAGTATGATGTTTATCATCAATATCTTTAAATTCAAGTTTATAAGTTATTAGAGCATAAACCATAAAAACAAAATTAAGATGGCTTTCTCTCTGTCAAAACGACTCAAAACCATAAAAATAAAATTAAGAGGGACGGATAATAGGAGCATGAGAAGGATTGAGGATTCGAATTCACAACTTCATAATCGAGATTGAACAGCGTTGCATTGCGTGGTTACACTTCTAGTATAATATAATTGATGGGCTCTTGAGCCTAAAAAGATTAACGAGATAAAACCCTAGCAAAACCCTAATCTTAGCCTAATTCATATAATTCTACTTCTAACATTAAACAGCCGGCAAAGCTTGTAGTTTGTTCCACTAGCAAAAATGTTCCCCTAATTTAAGTTTACTTGTCCCATTATCCCATTAAACTTCATGTAGCCCCACCTTATATCCCATTAGACCCTTGCAAAAGACTATATAAGAAATGTCAATACATCTAATGCCCTGTTCGAGGAAGCAGCACTGAACTTCCAAAGAGAACACTGAAATATTCTTCAATGTTGATGAGATGTATTTACAGTATTTCATGGGCTATCTTAATAAGCTATTCCCAAAGTCAATAGTAGGAGCATACCTGTACATAAGGCGTTCCATGAAATCCTCCTCCTTCATCTTTAGAAGAGAATGCCGTGTCTCTTCTCCTAGTGCAGACCAGAAATCAACCAAAGTGTCAACAGAGAGTCTGGCAGTATGCAACGCACATGTTTCGCGAGTTCCATGACCTCTACCATACCCCACCATTCCTTGACTGATCCATCCACGACCTCCACCCCCACATGCATCAGGATAAAGTAATTCACGCTCCCGTTCCCTTGCTCTAGCACTGCCAAAGACCTGATCAGGAGAAATGTTAAATTACCTTTCCATATAAAAAAAAATCGGAAGCAACAATTAGATAATTATACAGCCATATACATTTTGAAGCCCCTTAAGAGATTTTGAATACAGATAGCAATCCAAGAGGGTAAGTGTTCCATCACGGGTAGTGGTTAGACCTCCCCAAGGGTGGACTGAAGGATCTTGAATGTCCTCATCACACTTGGTTGTCAAGCAAACATCTTCAATAGTTTTATTGTTTGAGGTTCTACATCCATTGCAAGCAACCTGACCGACTATTCCCTCCTGCTGCAAAGACTTTCCATACATGACAATCTGCAAAAAGCCTTCCAGCAGTAACCCATTGCATCTCGAGCAGTACATATTTTTACGAGCTTGTTCAAAAAGAGTTTGCTTATCAACTCTCAGGAGCTCCTGTCGAGCTTGCGGTGACAGCTCACTCCAGAACTACAACAGATACAGACATCAAATCACCAACAAGTTCAGTTAATTATACATCTCAGATAAAAATAAGAATTCTTTTGCATTTTACTGGTATGAGATCAACAGTAAAAACTCAATGCTTTTCAACCTTCCACACAACTTTGACTTAACACAGAGTTACTAACAGATTGTTCAAACATTGCATTTCCAGTAAGTAAGCTACAGGCCCAACCATCTCCCTTCCCCACACCAGAAAAACCAATGACCTTCAACTTTTCGTCCTTTGGGGTGGCCTCGTTGGAATTTTGCTTACAGAGGAAATAATCACTTCTGATATTTTACACTCCAAAATAGTTTTAATCTCTACAGAAAAATAGATTGCTTTATAACTATGACAAACTTATTTGAATGTAATCTTGAAATGCAAACATTTCTCATCTAATACCTTATTGGACTCAAGATTGCTTTATGAGACACAACAATGTGATGTTGACTCCGGGATATGAGGTTAAGGAACAACTCAAAAGGATCAAGAGAATTATTGTCAGAAGCTCGGCTGTAAGAAACACATTTAGCAGTTCTGATATGTCTACATGCCACAACAGCCATTGTAACTGGCTCCACCGGTAGCATACGAGTGCCCATTTTATTGCCACAACACCATTGTTTACACCGGTTACAAGTCCTAACTATCTAAACAGTCTCTTCTTCCTCCTTTATAAAAATTGAAGCAACTTTTCCCAACAGTAGACGTCAAAACGATATGTTAGCTGATTGGTTATGAGAAGCATTCTCGCAACTATGGATCTAAGTAAGCAGCAAAATCATAACCAGGTGAAAAATTCAATAAGATCCAAAAACACAGTCAAGTTGTTCTATGGAAATGCCAAATCATTTATCCAACTGAGTTATCAAAACAAACAAATACATATCTAAAACAACAAAATTAAATCTAATTATGAACCTTCTGGAGCTGATTGCAGCTAACATCATCCCGATGCTTAGACCAAAATCCACTCGACGAAACTGATCCATTTGACGACAACGAGTAAGACGTCGTCGTATCGCCGCCACTGAATTGACAATCATGCGCTAATTCTGGCATCGTTTTTCTTAACCTCTCGCGCATTCCTTCATCAAATTCTCCATTTAACGAATCCAGTCTCCGATTAAAAACAGAAATTCTTCACAGATTTCTTATAGAATTAACAATCTGATCCAAAAAAATTGAAAGAAGAAACGAAATAAACAATTTCATTAGATCGTTTGATTGATGTAGGATTTCAATTAGAGATTATTGATGTTTACCTGACGAAATGATTTGTTGGAAGGATCTCTAAGAATTTAGAGAGCGAGAAAGAGGCGAATGAACGCAGGGAATTTCGATGAGATTTAGTTGTGTGCGTATATATTGTTCTTTCTGGAGAGAGAAAGGCTGTGAGCCTGTGTGGCTTGAGCATGGGTGCACGGTAACACGGAGGAGCCACTGTTATATTATCATTATTTATTTATTTATTTATTTAACGATTAATTATCATCTAAGATACAATCGGATTCGATCATTTATTAATTACATTTTTCTTAATCTCACTTTTTCCTCATCTCTTCCTTTAATTTCAACATGTGTTATCATCTTATTATTAAGAGCTTAAAACAATCGTTTTCTTGTTTTAACTAAGGGGCTGTTTACCCAAATGCTTACCCGATAAATGTTTATCTATAAGAGTCAACACTATAATTTACCTTGATGCGTAAGATTTTAGTACATCAAAACGTATCAAATGCAACAATTTACCGGATAAACACTTACCTGGATAAGAATCGTCATCTTCACTTACGGGGTAAAACTCTACATCATTCCAATTGCTCTTACCCGGTAAAATTCTTGTCCCTTGTCATGTTCATCCGATGTGGAAATTTAACCGGTAAACACTTTTTTTATTAACCTGGATATCCAATCCGCTATACGAGCCGACTAATCCCAGGGTGACCACCTGCTTTGCAGATAGCCCGAAGTCAGCGCATTTGAACATTCGTGACCACAAGAGGATTTTTATTTCTCTTTGGATTTGAACCTGAGACCTTCTGGTACTTTTGACCTTTAGAGTCAAGCTCAAACCAATTAGGCACCACCCTTGTGGTTAAGCAAGCGTTTAGTAAACGGCCCCTATCAAGAGATGTATTTAACATTACTTTGTTTTTTTTTAAACTTACGCTTCGTCGGTTCTAGCTTTCAAGTCATGAAAAAAAAATTGGTCTTGAACTCTTGATCATACCTGACCAATAAGTATCTTATTGAAAAGTTCTATGTTATTTGAAGAAAATGATAATAACAGTTAACTAATATGACAGGTCTATGTTTAGAATTAAATTGAAAGTTATTTCAGTGTCCGATCATATATCGCTCGAATTGGATTATATATTAAGTACGGGATATATTAATATTGTTTGACTTTGTTATCAAGATGCGTATTTTGTTTCCTTTTTCTCTTGTTTCAGCTTGCGTTTTATCGGCTCTCGATATTTTCAAACCGTGAAAAGTTTTCGGTTTTGATTTTACTTGAACAGTTAATGTTTATTGAAAAATTATCAGTTATTCGAAGAAAACGACAATAACAATTTAATTAATTTGATACGTGTTTGTTTTGAAATTAATTAAAAGTTAATCTGATGTTCGGATATATATGGTTCGAGTTCGAATTCAGGCTAAAATCACATGTGGTAGAATTAGAAAAGAAAAGAAAAGTATTTTTTTTAAAAGATAACATATATTAAATCATTATAAACATTTTAATTATATTGTCTCAAAAGGTCAAATTCGTAAATTTGAAACTTATGAACCTAAAATAAATACTTTAAGTTTTAACCTTTTTTCCTTTTTGTTTAAAAAAATTGTTCAAGCCAACTTAGATTTAAAAACTTATTTTTCATGAATTTCTCATTGATTTTGATTAAATAATTGATGGTAGAAGCAAACAAATAATAAATATGTTTCTTAAAAATACATGATTTATATATATATATATACACGTATATATATACATACGTATATAGAGAGAGAGAGAGCGCAGCGATCAAATGCAAACCACTCAATTTGTACAAACCGTGCAAATCATCATCATTCATCAATTTCATTGTTTAATCTTATGAAAGTTTTTCATGAAATTGTTTAAYCTTGTGAAATTGTTCCATATAATACTTTTTTTGATGAAGTTGTTTCATATATGATTATAAAATTGTTTCATATAATACTTAATGAAATTGTTTCATATATTTCTCTAAAATTAAAATAATGAAGATGATAATATCCATGATTAACACCCTCCACAATAAAAATGATTAACCAACCTCTTATAATTAAAAAATGAACAAAATGAAAAATTATTATTGATTGAATGAGGTTTATACAAATAACGTGGTTTGTAAAGTAAATCTTCTCTATATATATAAAGTACAAGAAAATCATGGAAATACAACTATTAAAGCAAGTTAATTGATATTTGTAAAATTCTTCAAAAAATTATTAACATATAGACACGAACCACGTCTGTTTGGAAATTTCTAGAAGAAAGGGTGGTCAAATTTGTCTCTGTGTTTGGGTGTCGTTCAAAGAAGAAAAGAAAAATTCAGAACAAAAATAAATTAATTAAAGATTTATTTGATTCGTGAAAATTGTTGATATTATAAAAAATTCAAGATTGGATTTTATTTTTATAGGTTGAGTTTCGATGAAAATAAGAAATAAGATGAAAAGCATAAGAAGAAATCTTCATCATTAGATGTATATTAAGATGAGATGCAATCGGATGCACCAATTCAATTCTTATATAAAGAATGATTCATTGATGAGTTTGAGATTAAAGGTGATCAATGGTCTAGATCATTTCTTACGTTTCTTACCTTAATTTTACACGGTCCTTCACCTTTATCTTAATTCTACAATTGGTTTAAAGAAAAATCGAGAATTGAGGGGTAGGGATTTTAATAAAATCTCATAAATATTTGATTTATAAACCTTATAAGGTAATTGGTATTTTATATGATTTTTTAATAATGTTTTAAAATACATTAATAACTTTTGTTTTATCATAATCAATTAATATAAAGTAATTTAATTATTTATAATCTATTTTTACAAATTATCTACAATTAATCGAATTAAATTTTATTCCAAATCCTACAAACCTACCATATCAAATATTTCATATCCTTCCATAAGATATAAATCCCTCAAAATAGTCTGTCAAACCAAACACCTCCTAAATATATTTTTGAAGTTAAATACACAAGCAGTTCTATACCTTTGTTTCAATGATTTTTACTATATTATAAATCATTCGACAAATACCTTTAAAATCAATCTATTAAGCATCAATTATATTTTAATTAATTTAAATATCTTAAAATGAAATGTTACAAGTTATTATGGCATATATTTAGCTTATTAAAACTCCATAAAACTAAATAATAACCACATGATAAACTCTAGAAATTGGCCTGTATTTTAAATCTAAATTATATTATCATTAATTAATTAATTAATTATATTATATCCAAAAATGATTATTTTATTCTTTTAATTTGATACTCATTAATATAAATTCTTTTTAGTTTTTTAAAATCGGGTTTTCAAAACACGAGTATATTTATACTAATATGTTGATTATATGATAACACATGGAGAAGGATTGTGTGAAAAAGAAAGTTACGTTGAGAAGCGTAAGAAGTGATCTGAACTCTTGATCACTTTTAATTTCATGGCCACCCATGGATTGCGCTTTATAAGAGAATTAATCTGATGTATCTCATTAGTGTTGGCATTCAATTAGGATTGATTTCAAGGGTGAAAATTTATTCTTACGCTTTTTACTATAATTTTCATTCTCAGTGTCACACAACCCTATTAACACATTACCTCACTTTATTAAAAAATGTTAAAATTTAAATTTACGATTTAGTGCAACTTTAAAAAATGATAATCAACCGAAAACTCTCTCCATGTCTAAAGATCATACAAAACCGTATAATAAAAGCTAGAGGTACGTAGAATAGAGCGAACCATAAATCATGATTGAAGGTTCAAATTATTGACTTTAGAGTCGAGATTCGTCTTGATGTATTGTATGAATACATGGACAATAGTTGTACAATGAATTTATGACATGACTTTTTGTATTCTTTAAAGCACGCCCACATCACCGTTTAGACCATCTCCAACCCGATCACTAAAAGAAAACATTAAAAAAATTGGATCCACTGAACATTAAAAAAAATCAACTTCAACCTCACGGTATAAAACACTAAAACATTTTTAATATTATAATAATAATAAAACAATGTTTATATATGTGTGTGTAGAGGGATAATCAATTGCAAACCATGTGAAAATTAAAAACCTTGCGAACCCATCTAGACCGTTTTTTTTTTTTTTATCAATGGTTGATGAATTTTCGGATTTAGATTGTTAAAAATATTAAGGAAATGTTAGTTTTAGAATAAATTATAAATATTTTAAACTTGATTTTTAATAAATAATTTGAATTATATTTTTTTTTGTTATTATCTCTATAATTTTCTCCCCATCTCCATTTCTCTCTCTCACTGTATGCAGAATAAAAGATGAACGATGGCTCCTCGAGAACTCTCTCGAAACCATGATTTAGTCTTCGACTTTTAGACCCAGTATCATACAAGCTTAATCTTGTCTAGATCATCCACCTTCGACCATCGTTTCCGCCCTACCTCTGACCACCGTGCCTCGTCTTCCCCAGACCATCTCATCCCAATCGGTTCTAACACTTTGACCATACTCAGTGACTCTAATTTCCCCTCTTCTATCAATGACTATGTATGTTTCTTTCTCATTCTTCCCTTGGTTCGAACATCTAGATTTTGGTTTTGTCTCCATTGATTCGAACATGTCCATCCAAGATCTGGATTTTGTTTGAAAAAACACCAGACATCTCTGTTTTGAACATCTATATTTATTTTAGGCTGGAAATCTTTCGTATATGAATCCGATTAGAAAAATATCAATATGGTGTTTCATAAATAAAACAGCTCTTGTATGAAAATAGGTAACAAAAGTTGTAATTGTTTCATTTTAGAACCAAAATCTCTCTCTCATTACGGAATATTATCATGAATTGTTTGAAAAATTAACTGTTAAAAAAGATTAATATATTGTTTCACAAGGGAATGGACCGTGTTTCACATATGAAATATTATTATGAAACAACCCTTGTATAAAAATAGGTAACAAAAACAGTAATTGTTTCATATGAGAACCAATAATTGTTTTGGCTTCACATGAGAAAAAAAACGGTCACATATTAAAAAGTTAATGCTTTGTTTTATAACTGAAACAATAATGGTATGAAATGGGGTAACAAAAACTGTTATTATTTTATATGAGACGCA